AGAGAGAGAGAGAGAGAGAGAGAGAGAGAGAGAGAGAGAGAGAGAGAATAATAATAATGATCATCTCCGCGCGGAGAATAGCCAGTCGCAGTAAATCCTCGTTCACTGGCCAGAGGATAATGACAGAGCGAAACCATGATAACCCGCGGAAGGGCTCCCTGCAGTGACGTATCGATGGAAGGGAGGCAGCTGGGGGCACGTGCCCCTGGATTTCGACTACATTAGTGAGGGGAATGGCCAAATAGCGCGCAGTGGTTTTGAAATCTCAACAAAGTCGAATCGTGGTTAGTGCTATAAGGCTAGTGCTATATTTCTGAATAAGAAACTATTGAAACAATCAAACTATACGTCCCAGAAAAGTCTCAAAACTTCGGAGTAGTTTTCGAACATATTCAAATTAGTACGTATCGGAAACTTTGAGTTACGGAACGATCTGAAATTATCTGTATTATTAAATTCATTGAAATTCGCCCGGGCGCCAGATTTCCTCGCTACGTCACTGGGTCACGCCATCCCTAATACCGCCAGTTGGAGACTTTAACGAAAGCGCGAGCGGGATTGTCTTTCATCCTCCTCGGCATCCCTATCAACCGGAAGAATAATTGCATACAGATGACCATCAACGAAAGGGTTCGTTTTCAGGAAACTTACCGCGGTACTTTCTTCGTTATCGGATTTGGCTTTGGACAGACTGCTTCAGAAAAATTTCGAAATATTACGTTGTACCAAAAGTTTCTTTCGCGAGTTGCATTCGATTATATTAGATCGTCCGATAAGTTCGTGCCGATGACTGTATCGAAATTTAATAATAAAAAAAATCACAGAAATTTTCTAGCAACGGTATAACGACTATAGGAGAGAGGTGAGAAACTATTGTGAAACGAGACAGATTATCTTTTCTTGTGACACTTGAGAGTACGTTTCACGTATTAATTTGAGAAACAGAAGTATAAATGGAACTTTTAGGACTACCTGATACTTTCTGTGCCAGTGTCTATATAAATAGACAATCTAATTTCTTAGAGATCGATGCTGTAACAGTAATGGAGCGAAATGAATTGTACACAATTTCGTAACTGTAACGTAAAACATAAAATATTGTGTATGTATTAATTATTAATGAAACGAAAGAAACTTTTCGGACAACCTAATGGAACAACCTGAAGTCTTCCAGACCGACGAAACGTTGGATATCGACGAAGGAGTGCCATTTATCGACCTAATCGCGTAAACCGAACGTGGAAACGTACTGGGCGGTACGTTTTCATTATTCGTTGACCTCGATGCATGAACGATGACTTGCGTAAGGAGAAACACCAGTTGTGCAACCGCATTGTGGAAAATTGCTTCGCCCACCCGCGCTTCCTATCTCTTGGAAATTCTTAAACTACCCAGACGTCGATGCACACTCGTGAAGGTTCGGTTTTATCGAATGTAAACGCCCGGAATTAATTATCTACACCCGGTACATACGCTCGATCCCGTAAACATTCGTACCCTCTGTCTATCGAAGAAGTTTGGCTAAATTAAATAATATCAGGTTGTCCCAAAAGTTTCTTCCATTTCATTAATAAGTAACACATTAATGACACAATATTTTACACGATTAAATACTTTACGTCTAATGTTACATTATTAAATTGCGTACGATTCATTATGCTCCGTTACTGTTATACGATATTCACATCTAATAAATTAGGTTCTCGTTCTCGTATTGTTCAGCACGAGAGGCGCGGATGCTACAATATGTATACGAATACGCTTACACGTGTACATATTTATAGAAAACATACACGTGGAAACGTCAAACCTACAATTTTAATTTAAGTAAATTTCTTCGATAGACATGGAGGGGTACGAATATTCATGGGACCGACCGTTATTTCTAAATGGTCTCTGATATCCTAAATTCAATAACGAAATACCGGAAAGGAAATACCGATCTAATTTCCGTGAAGACGATTCGGCTTCGTCGCAAGAGAAAGAGCTACGAGTAACGTTTGAATCCCCATAAAAAAAACTACAAGAAAGTAGAAAAAGATGTGAAATCAAAATGAGCTGCCAGTGCATGAAAGTCCTTTCCAAAATCACAAAAAAAATAGAAGATCCCTATTAAAAGCTACAAGAAAATAGAGAAAGATGTGAAATCGAAATGAGCTGCCAGTAGATGAAAGTCCTTTTAACGTTTGAATCGTAAACGTCCACGAGTTTGAACCCGATCTACATCACCTTGCTAGGTGGAGATCGAGGAAGGGAGGTGGTCGATTCATCTCCATCCCTATTATCCAAGTTTCTATACGGTTAGGACTCGTTTTGTATGCTACCCTCGCGCAAAAGAGAGACCCGTATCGATTGCGGTGCCGACGAACGAGAATGCACCGTCGCCTTCTTCTTCGTCCGCGATCTTTCATATTTCCATCTCCACCTCGTACACCTAGGTCGACGATCCTCTCGCCTTGATATGCACCGCGCGTTCGCGTGATATCCTGCGAAGGCAGAGGAATTTTCTTCCAAAGGAAGCGTTATGCACCCCGTTAAGCGCAATCGGGAAGGTCACGACATCCATACGTGGGCCATTTCGACACAATGCAGCCATTGTAATTTCGAGCGCTCCCTTAAGTGGAAGGTCGCGGTAGCCATTGCTCGTGTCGCGATGGCGTTGATGTTATATCAGGTGTACTGGAACGTAATGTCGTTTGTGCAATTTTAAATAATTGTTTATCTCTCGTCAGCTCGTTGATTTTGGTCGATATGACGTTGAAAATTTGCGCGCTAAATGGCAAAAGGCTGTTGACAACGAAGGCGATTACGTAATTGTTTAAAAGTAGAAATTTATCAAAAAGTTGTTTGAATTTAACGTAAAAGAAACGACATTGGAAAGTAATGTCGACTGGAAAGTAATGTCGTTTCTTTTGCAGTACCTAATGGCTAGGTTGGAAACAAACGATTTTCTTGCGATCAAGCCGCGAATCTTGCGACTGTTAGGCAGAAAAATCTGTTCCGATTTTTGTTTCTTTTGCTATTCGTTCGTGCTTTCGTTAAAGTCTCCGTCGTTTTGGCAGAAATCGCGCTTGAACGTTCGTTGAAGTCTCTTCGCCCGTATCTCCTCGCCTATCTGACCGAAGAATATATTTTCCAAGAATACACTATATATGTAAATATATTAGAAATATTCAATTATTAACGCTAGTTTAAGTATGAATATTTAATCGTATAAAATATATTAATTTCTACACCTAATAATCTAATACTCCTTTATCGATATGGAAACGACGACAATGGAACAATCCGATAGTTGCGGAAAGAAAGTAGTCGTGTATAATTATGGTTGGCAACGGAAAACGTGTACGGATATCGGACACGGACGCGTGTACTTATCAACAGTGGCATGTAGAACGACGTTTCGATAAGGCTTTCTACGTCGCGTTCCATGACTCATTGCACTAGTTATACTAGTAGTTATTAACTAGTAGTTATTAACTACCAGTTAATAACTACTAAACGAGCTTCCATTCGACCTCCGTAACTTTAATCAAAGGGTTGCCTCTCATTCCTTCCCATAATTTCATTTACACGCAATTTCATTTATATTATAATTTCACTTTTGAATAATTTATAAAAATAAACATGCGTTAAGTCGAATATTTTAAAAATCGTTACGAGGTTAAAAATTATATCTCAAGACGGAATGTTTTAACGTCGCCAAATTCGCGAGTCCTATTCGGATTTATTTTCGACATCGATTTGAAAAATAGAGTCGCCGCTGGATTTAATTTTCGCAGTTCTCCCATTTCTACCCATCATTTAATTAGTCGTGTTACAGAATTTTTTAACGTCGCCAAATTCCCGAGTCCTCTTCGGGTTTGTTTTGTCGATTTGAAAAATAGAGCCGCCGCTGGATTCAATTTTTGTAGTTCCTTAACAGAAGCGTAGAACAATACGTGCGCGACAGAAAACTCGTTAATGGAAGAAAAACAAAGTACGCGCCGGAACACGAAGGACTGACAAGCCTGGATGTAACGAAACAAAGAATTGGGCGCACTTCAGCGTGTCCGAGAGGTCTCGAGTATAATCTTTCCGGCTACCATGCAGCGACCTCGACGTTTTACCGTGACGGCGTCAGGCTCGCCGCCACAGGTGCACCGTGAAATTACGAGAGCAGATCGCGCTACTACGAGGCGATACGCCGGCGAAATCGCTGAAAAGAACTCGTGAAAAAATGGACCCGTACCGGGCTGGCGGCATTCCGGCGAACACGCCGATGACTCGGTCGTACACCTGCCTCGGTTGCTCGTTCGATATGTCCTTCGAGAGAAATCGTCGACTCCTCTAATCGACCTCGTCGATCGATTCCGCCGCTTCGCGAAAGCTATCGATTCGATCAGTGGTGCGCAAACGTCTCCGTGAGCCAAATAACTCGAAATGGGCAGAAAATATTTTCTGCGAGCCAAACAACAGTGGAATGCTTTCTATGAGCCGATATTTCAAGACAGGTTTTATTATTCGTACGTAGTTTATTAATGCGTAGACCGTATTGAAATAATGACACTGTAATAAAATCTAATAAAATAAAATGTAACGACATCTAGGTAAGGATATTTTTCTTCTGTCATTTTTCAAGCGTTGCAGCAGAAACTTATACTACGATTTAGAAAATAAAAATCAGATCAACTAGAACAGATCCGCGAGGACACCGCGATTTCGTAACGCGAACGAGAGACTATCGTAGGCTCTCGTGCGCGTCGAACTCGACATAAATCGTTAACGATTTCGAAAAAAACATTATTACTTTCCCGCGGCCAGGAATGTTTATCGCACCGTGAAAGGCCGCACGGTGACATTCGAGCACCCTGTGACGTATCCGTTCCGATCTCTGATTTCGTTAATCAACAAGCCATCGCGTCCGCGTTACTTAACGGGAAGCAAAAAGGCTACTGTCGTATCGGCATCGGAGTGGATTCGCTATCGACCATTTTCCATTCGGTTGAAATTTTGTTTACGTCATGGTACCCCGCTAAATAACTTTTTTTTTTTCGTGAATTTTGGCAGATTTTTGTACCGAACCAAAAAAAAAGTTATTGCTCTGCTACAAATTGGCCAAATTGAACGGTTTTTTTTTTAAATGTGCATTTTTGAATGAATTTTACGAAAAACAAAAATAAATACGAAACATAATATTCGAATTCGTCTTTTATAAAATTGTCGAATGTCTCGGATTTTAAGATTGTAAAAATGTCGATGCTTAATTTAAAAAATTTTTTTCCCACAAAATACTTTGATTTTTTCCCCATTTTACCCGATTCTATTTTCGCATTTTAATCGAAAATAATTTTTCCAATTATTTCCATCTAACCTGACTTTCGTAAAAAGATTTTTCCGATAGCTTCCTCGGGAAACGCGAGATACCGATTTGTGCGGGGCCCGGTAACGCTGTTGAGACAGCCCTGATCGTCTCTGACCCGGTCGACCTTACAGAAACCGCCAGAACGACGATGGAAATTAAACAAGGTGGAATTTACGACGCAGGTAAGGAGAGCGGTTACTCACGATGGCCGCTGCGATGAAGTACAATCATCCTGCTGTGCCTGAGGGAATTCCTGGTGGGTGTATGCCTGCCAGCGATTTGCGAGGCTGCCAGATTAACGGGAACCGTGGTGGACAGACAATTGGCCATCGATGGGGCACGACCGAGTTCCTTGTCCTTCTCTGGTCTGTAGATTCTGCCGATGTTCCCCGTCGACACGGCACCTGTCACCGTAAACACCGAGCCGTTACCAAAGGAGCAAACAATGGACGCTTCTGTCGAGGAAAGTTCTAGTCGATGGCTGTGATATTAGGTGTACTTGTAAAGTAATGTCGTTTTTTTTTCAATTTCAAATACTTGTTTATCAATCACTAGCTCATTGATTTTTATCGATCTGGCATGCAACATTTTTACACTAAATGGCAAAAGGCTGTCGATAACGAAGGAGATTACATAATCGATTGAAAAAAGGAATTTATTAAAAATTTATACGAATTTAATGTAAAATAAACGAATGTAGTTTAAGCCTGTAGCTTGAACGTTTAAATTAAAAACATTTACTTTCTATGTTCTCGATCTAATCTCTGATTAATCTGAGTCTCAAGCCGATGGTCGGTACAATCTACCTATGTACCCAAAGTTTACTTTTTTTTTTTTTAAATATTCGATCTGTTGTAATATTCAACGAAGGTTTTATTGAAATATTAAATGTAAGTTAAGGTACACAGTTAGAATATATACTTTTTGGTACATGTTGCACATTTCTTAAATACTAGAGGAACGCTAGAGGAAGACTACAGGGTGTCCCAAAAATGTTGGAGGTCCTTGAAGAAGGTGGTTCGGGAGGTGATTTGAAACAACTTTTTCCTTAGCGAAAATGTTGTCCGAGGCTTCGTTGAGGAGATATTAAGAGAAAGGTCCCGACCAATCAGAGCGCGAGTATGCCGGTGGGCGGTCGCGGACGCGTAGGCTACGCGCTCTGATTGGTCGGGGCCTTTCTGTTAATATCTCCATAACGAAGCTTCGGACAACATTTTCGCTAAGGAAAAAGTTGTTTCAAATCACCTCTCGAACCATCTGTTTCAAAGTGTTACAACATTTTTGGGACACCCTGTATACTTTTTGATACACGTTTGGCACATCTAACGGCTTATAACAATGCGCGCTGAATTTACAGGCGGCGCTGCAAGTACAAAGAAAGATTGTTGAAAGATTCAAATATCCCTACACGATCGAACCTCGAAAAACCCTTCGTGCCAAGCATCGCATGTTAATAAAACTATTTATTCGAAACATGAATCAACATGGAGCTTCCCAATTTCTATCTTCGAATTCTAACGAATTTGTTGGTTAGAAAGCGCGCGAAATGATCCGCGCGGTTACGTTTTGCCCCGCTACGTACGCGGGAATTGACTATTAGGCGAGCAAAATGAAATCCGAGAAAGTCCGGCCGGATAACGGCGCTAGTATAGCGACGACCGAATTTCACCGGCGACCGTTCTATTTACAGACGAACTTTCCTAGGATAGTCCAATGGCGCATCCAATTTTATCTCGCGCCAACGATCGCGCCGCGTGGCTCGATCGACGAGACGAAGTCGATAAGAACGTATGCGAAACGAATCGAGTGCGCGAGAGAGGTTATGGTATCGCGTTTCGTTCGAGACCCCTTCGTTTCCAGCAAACTAAAGCCAACTATTATCGTGTTCAACCACGCACGAAGCACCAATAAAAAGATTAGAGAACCTGTCGGAGCCTTGGACGAGTTGCGTTTTTCTTCTTTTCTGTTCTAATCGGATCAACGTGCGTCATTAAAAGATTATTACGGGTTCTCTCTACAGAGTGAAAAGGGTTTTATAGAATAAGCAATGGGGTGTTTCGTTTATAGAATCCTAATTTGCTACGAGACCACGTGTCTCGAAACTTAGTTATATTAGAATGGAATCAAAGCATCGAATAAAATACGTTTTACATCGCTATTCGATCCATTAAGTTTCCAAGCACGGTATGCTTCCACGATACGTAACTTACTCTTCCAATTGGGGTCGACCTAACCTACCAATTATGCAACAAGTATTCCACCGACTAACTTTAGAATCGTGAAACGTAAATTTAAACAAAAAAATTGTGGATGGAATGTTTGAAAAAGTAAATCGAAGCAAAGATGAGGCGAAGATCGAGTCTACTCACCCGTGACTTTGGTGTTGTGGATCTTCGACACGTTTCCAGCGCTGACTGCGTTGCTCACTCTATTGTTGTTGTTGTTGTTGTTGGCCGCGGCCATCGACGTGCCGATACCGTTGTCGCGAACCTGACTCAAATTGTCGGCGCTGAAGGCGGAAGTCACGCAAGGTGTCACCATGGACGCGTCCTGAAGAGTGCAGCAAGCAAAAAAATAAAAGTTCACTTTCGATGGTCGCCATAGACTCGACAGTTACGCACAGTTACGCACAGTTACGCGCCGGGTCATTTTCAAAACGAGAATAGAAATTCTTTTCGTAGAGATTCGATTCGCGTCGTATAAGCGTATAAATGAATTCAGTGATTAATTAAACGTTAAATATATCTTTACGGGCACAGAATTAATTTCTCCAAATGAAAGAAACGAAATAGAAAGAAACGAAATTGTTCTAAACCAAACAATCGCGTTTTCGTGAATGGAATAGAGTTTTCAATAAATAAATAAATAGATGGGTATAGAGTTTTCAACTCGCGCAGTTGTTTAGTCGCAATTTCGATACGATAACCGGTGCGGTCGCACACTCGTTTTTCGTTCGGCTAAATTCGTGGTCAGACTGCGAATAAGCGATTCGCTGCGACGAGTCGACTTAATTAGGCGCACTTGATCGGTGGACGATCTACTTTCGCGTATTGTCTTACGGCGACCTCGGTAAACGCTAATTATCGCGATACGCGTTTATCGAGTGGCTAAGTTTGTTGGTCAACAAAGGTAGACTTTTATCAGTGCCGAATGCAACGTGGAAAAATGATAAGAAAAAAAAAAAAAGAATACGAACGAAATACAAAATGAATTAGTGACAATATTGACGGAAAATTTCTAATGCCTCGATTAAAGATTTTCTGCGGTGGATCACACTTCGTATGTTCGTACACGTTTACACCGAATTGTTGTAGTTCGCGGTGTACGCGCGTATGTCTTTCGTGAGCCGACGCGATTGTAAACAACGGCACGTGACACGGGAGCGATCGCTCACCTTAAAATTGTCGTAAAAGCTGACAGGACGGCTCCTTGGCGCGTACTGAATCTCCTCGTCCGGTTGCATCGTGCTACCGTCGTATGTCGTCGAGCCTAAGGGCTGCGCGCGCACCTCGCCCGGCATCCTGGCGATTCTTCCTTTTTCCACTTCCGGCGGCTGCGAAGTTACGACGCCTAGCGTGAAAAACAATCTTTCGCTACCGTGGACGTATACAAAGATGTATAAATATGTGAAAAAAGAAATTGTACCGAAAATCTCGAATGATATAATATAGAAATAATAAAATAGAACGAAGAAATGTGGAGTAAAAATATGGAATAACATACCGTATACGTGTACGCGTACAGAATGGAAATATAGAGCAACGTTTATTCGGATGATCTTTGCGAGTTTGAAAGTGTGTATCGTATTAATATCGACGAAACTAATGAACGTGAAGGAGCCAACTGAAGCGCAAATCAGTTCTAATGCAAAGTGCTCGAGAGGCGCGTATCTGGGAAGCCGTATCCGAATAGTGCGATAGTGTGCGATAAATGGTCGGCATTGTATGCATCGAGATCTAATTAAATTGTAATAGATAATTGGGACAAAGTTACTTCGATTTGACGCGCTACCGCGATCATGGAGATCTAAATGGAGATCATTAATCATCTAAGGGAAAGATCCAAAGCTCCTCCCGCCTTCAATTTTAAGACACTTTCGCAGGATGGTAGTAGAATTTATTACTTGCATTACCGGAATTATCGGGCATCTACGCCTAATGCTTTACATATATCAACATGGGACGTGTGCTCTATCATCCCGCAGAATCACGTTAAAACAGAGCAGGGGGGAGAGAACGGGTGTACCCCCTCCTGGAGGGAGCGTCCATTTCGCTCACTCGTAATGGTTCGTTACCAACGACGTTATTTAAATAATATTTGAATACTGTTCTTTCAGTCGAATAATAAATGAATATTCCACTAACGATAGTTATCTAGTAAAATTCAAGTAGAAAATTAAAATTGCAACGACGGAGATTTGAACCCGCGACCCGAAGACTCGCAGGCATTCGCTTTACCTAGCGGGCCATTCCCTGTCCCCTACAGTAATTATATTTAAATCGAATTTGAATGAAGTTTGTGCGTTTGAAGTCCAATATATATCTATGTTATATGCAATATATATGTATATATACAAAATATGTAATATATTTTATATATTATATATATAATATACATAAAAAATATATATATATACATATACATCAGGATCGGGATAAAAATTTTATATATATATATATATATTATGAAGTGCAATATATATATGATATATATAATTTTTATCCCGATCCTGATATAGTCGTCCCACTTAATCTTCAACGCGACGCCTCCCGCCACTTCACCTACTACCTAATCCTTCCTAAACTCAACTTTCCCAATCCAACACATTCGTACCTGAATTTCCTCGTCAGCTCATATCTCGATTTCGTTCAACGACCGGAGAAACTGCGCCTCGCACGCCGCTCTCCGTTTTTAAACCGCAAATCTTCGACTTCCCGGATGCACACCTGCGCTATTCTCGCCTGGGCATGAGTCACGACGTCGATTCCGCGTCCAGCCCCTGCCGGAGAAATTTCTCTTAATCTCTACCGACGCGTCGTAAGTCACGTCTCGGATTCCTCAGTCGGCGTGAGCGAAGGGAAACGTTCAGATAGAGAATTGATCACCGTTCGTCGATTTCCTCGCTGTCCCGTCCACGTGCGCACGGGTCCGTCCGACAGACCGTAAAGCTATGAAAAATGGAACGGAATCGTCAACCTGGGAATACACGACGTATATTCGTGCAGGTTCGGGGCCGGTGACGATTTGTATCAATTACAACGAAGGTTTTGTTTTGCGAATGCATCACTGAGAGCGGGACACGTACTATGGAAGCGTAACTTGGGCGATTAGATTCGAATAATACGGAAAAGTTCGTCTTGGTGTGGCGTGGTGGCCTTGTAGCGGTTCTGTAAAGGGAGAGGGAAAGGGAGAGAGAAAGGGAGAGCAAGAGAGAGCGTGGTTCGTCCTGGGCCGAAAGAATGCTAGTGGATTCGTCGGTAAGGGTAGGTCGGTAAGGCCGGGTCGGTACTTCAGTCGCCGGGATGTTTAGAGTTCGATCGGTAATTGTTTATACAACGCGCATTGTCCCTCTGGCGGTGAGGACAGAAGGTGCCGCCATATTTACTTGAAAAATATTAGGCCGCCCTAAAAGTTTCTTCCGTGACTTGCACTCAGTTATTTCGTGCGACAGTGTCTATATAATTAGACAACCTAATTTCTTAGATGTTGATGTTGTATTAGACATAAAATGCTCCCTGTATATTACTTATTAATGAAATGGAAGAAACTTTTGGAGTAACCTGATACATACAGACGAAACTTGTTCGGATTTATTCGAATCCTAGGGTTACGCCCGGCACCGTGACATGGCAGAAACAGAAATCATTAAATTGCGATATGTTTTTTTTCTTTCTATGTCGAACGTGAGGGTAGCTTTACGGTCACGATGCAAGAACCGAAATTAATACCGAGAGGTGTTGCGCAACGTCGGTACGCGGCGCAATGGAACCGTGGCGGTTTGGGATACCAACACAATGACGTGACCTACCTATGCCTGAACCAGTGTTCGGGTTACGGGGCTGGAAATAAGTCATTTCTCCATTAAGCCCCTTTATGCGGCGCTCACGTTCACGTCACCGTGACCAGGGAGTTTACTGAACTCGACAATGTACGGAAAGTTGTCATCGGTGTAACATATTTTCGCCTGCAACCACCGTTCTCGTATTTACGAACGTCTGAGCCGAGGCTGGGTCTCTCGCGACCCATGCTAGCATTGCCACTCGACATGCTTTTACTACTATTATTTTTGCTAGCATTAATTATTATAAGCATCGCGCCTATTTTCATTGTATCAATTTTCTTCTTCTTTTTTTGTTCACGAATAATTTTATGAATTCAGAAAACTCGATGCGTTGCTAGTTAATCGCGATACTAATACGTTATTAATAAAAATGGAAAGAATTATTCTTCGATAAAAGCAAAAGTGTTTCAGAGCAAAAGATTGTTTACATCATCGAGTTTTACATCATCAGCCATCATCGAAACAAAAGAATGCGCAACTAGCCTCGAGCAAAGTCGCTATCGTTCGTTTCCCAGTCACCGGCATACCATTACTGTTCTTTTTTTAGCGCCTAACGTAATCGTAAACATCGTTGGCACGTTTTGTTTTTTTTTTTATTTTTTTTTTTTATTCTTTGCAAAACCGACGTGGCTCGATCATTCGCATAGAAAATTACGGGGGACGAGATAAATGTGCCCGTGTTCTATTTGCGCGTTACGCAGTACCGTAAACGCCTCTGCCAAAATGTGACGACGCCAACTATAAGGAGGATAACGAATTCATGAGATTACGTAACGTTCTGCCAGGTGGAAATTGCGTCTGTCGATATTCGGCTTATCAACAAAGTTCGTTCCAATTCTTGGTGAATTTTTTCCATTGCAAATTTTTAATAACGTAGTATAGTTGATATTCATCTTTATCGAATATACTGTTTTGGAATTGAGAAATCCCAACTTTTATCGACTCGTTTTGGAATGAATAATATAAAATGTGATTGATTAGTTTGACGCGTTCTCTATCACTGAAGAAGTACAAAAATTAATTCTGAAAGATCAAACGTCAAAGAAAATAAATTTGAATGAAATTCTTGAAATTCTTGAAATTCTTGAAATTCGATGAAGTTACGATATAAATACTACGATAATTATTATTGCCTAGCGACGAGATAATTCTGCGTTATGGTTGTTCCAGCGCCATCAATTAAAACGTAACGAAACGGAATTCTCTGTTTACGAGTTCGCGCCGTGCGTCAGTTGTTAAACAAACATCGGCGGTGCGTACTCGAACCCACGGCAACGGAAAACGCAATTGATTCGGGCGAGTTTAATCGAGCAATATCCGAAACGCTATCGTACGCGATGTTACGTTAAACAAGTGGGGCAACCTGTTAGTCCCCGTAATATAATTGCATTAACATACGCGGTTGGGGGCGGCCACGTTGTGCCAGTTCAGCCAACCGTTTTATTAGTTTCATTTGCAGGAAAAGAAAATCGCCTTTGTTCTCTACTTGTCGCAAACACGCGTGAATTTCATACTCTTACTATTTTCTTTACTTACATTATGTTTTAAATTGAAATTTTCAAAATTTCAAAATTTCAATATTTTCAAATTTTCAAAATTTCAAAATTTCAATATTTTCAAATTTTCAAAATTTCAAATTTTCAAAATTTCAGTATTTTCAAAGTTTTGAAATTTCAAAATTTTCAATATTTCAATATTTTCAAAATTTCAAAATTTCAATATTTCAAAATTTCAATATTCCAAAATTTCAAATTTTTCAAAATTTCAATATTTTCAAAGTTTCAAAATTTCAATATTTCAAAATTTCAATATTTCAAAATTTCAAAATTTCAATATTTCAATATTTTCAAAGTTTCAAAATTTCAAAATTTCAATATTTCAATATTCCAAAATTTCAATATTTTCAAAGTTTCAAAATTTCAATATTCCAAAATTTCAAATTTTCAAAATTTCAGTATTTTCAAAGTTTCAAAATTTCAAAATTTCAATATTTCAATATTTTCAAAGTTTCAAAGTTTCAAAGTTTCAAAATTTCAAAATTTCAAAATTTCAGTATTTTCAAAGTTTCAAAATTTCAAAATTTCAAAAGTGCGTCGGATCAAAAATCTGATAGCACCATCTCTCTAAACGGGGGGATGTAAACCTAATAAGCTCGCATCAGTGAAAAAGTGGCTGGAAACGTTTTTAACCCTTTTCTCCATCGAGGTACGGGCTAGGTCTAAACCTACTCGGACAGTATTTCCACGTAGACAGCGTCAGCGTATGCATTAACAAGTTTACCGCATTCCCCACTACGATTCGAGGATTATATAAAATCACCGGTCAATTTCGTAAATGTTCCACAACTTATCACGTTTACCAACATTAGTGGGGATTAAATCATCGGTGATTTGAAATCGAAACGAATAAAATTCCATCGCGATTCACCGAATTCGACTCGCAGTCGACGATGTCACTCGTTAGAATTCAATAGATCGCACACACGTAATTGCTACGCGTACGTAACGCTGCATGATTAGAATGTTCGCGATGAATGAATGGGAATGGTACTCGTATTTCCAGCGACACGTCATCCTACAAGTAAAAAATCTATCTTGGACTCTGATCGAAGGGGCCCACCCAGGATTATTCAAGAAATCATCTCTATTACTAGCATGAGTTTCTAGTAAAGAAACCACAAAATAAGTAACCACGATAAATACTACAGTGTGTTTATCTTGTTCTATGTAAACACTCGTGCGAACCTATTCCGACGGGTTCATAAATTTAAACAGACTCGAAAGCGAGCTACCTCGAATTTGTCTATTCGCGAAGCATTGAATTCTATAATATAATCAAATCGCGCGCGCAAAAAAAAAAAAAAAATGCTCAAACTGGTACATTTCGTAAAGTAAGCAGGAGCCAAAAAAAAGTATTCCAGCGTGCATAATTAATTGGCCGTTAGCGAACTCGGAACAGTAATTGCTCTAATGACCAATTAATTATGCATTCGCGTCCCAATTATTCGTTCATTCGTCCCAGGAAAAAGAAACTATTCGTATCGTTAATTTATCGTGGATAATTAGGTAAGAGACTCGCGGTGGCGAATATTCATCGACTACAGCGAAATTTGGTAAAACGAGACGATCGTGGTCGTAGCGTTGGGAAAAATTCACGCGTTGACAAATAATACGTCGCATTCCGGACACTCGGTGGCTGCAATGGCCGTGGAACCTTCGACACGTGCGAGCTGCGGTTGTTCTAATTAAATTCTCCGGTTACAAACCGTTCCCAGGTTTCTCCGGCGTGTCTTATCAGGCCTCAAAGAGTTATTATGCGATTCGCCAAATTCATTGACGTCTTTCATTCGGGACGAGCCTCGAGAGGGGTGTTATTGTTGAAGGAACGCTGTGACCTCTGAAGCCACGATGGACTAAAAGACTCTTAACACGTTTATCGCTTCACACCGATTCGCACGTCTACGGGTCTGAAATTTTTTCCCGAGGCAATCGTAAATCATATAATCTAGCATTTGTCGTATTATTCATTTTCGTGTCAAAATTTACGAATTCTATTCGGAGTTATTTTCATTAATGCACATAAAATGGCTGAAGTTCCTTAAAGAATAGCACTGTCTCTCTATCTTAAATTTAGTCTCGTCGAAGCACATAACCTAACCTGTATTCTACGATATGTTTTTGTTTCACGAGGAATGATTTAATGAAAAGTTTGTTTCACGAAATAAGGC